AATTATTAATTGAGACATACAAACATCTTTGCTCCTATGGCTGCAATCCCTTCAGTAATCTCACCAATGGCAGCATTTCCGGCACTCTGTAGCCATGAAAACATGGAGCCTCCAAAATATCCAGATTTTTCAGATCGCCTTTTTCTCCTTGGAGGCTTGTCTCCTTTGCTTGAGGAGTCCTTACTGTTTACTGACGGCCTCTCGTCATTGCTGGAGCTGTCTTTACTGTTCACGGGAGGATTGCGCTCATTGTTGGAAGTGTCTGCATGATTCACTACAGGCTGATCCTTGACACTGGAAGCGTCCATACTCTTCATTGAAGGCTTGTCCTCGTTGCTGGAAGTATTGTTACTGCTCTCCGGAGGTTTGTCTCTATTGCTGGAAGCGTCTTTACTGTTCACTGGAGGCTTGCCCTCATTGGTGGAAGTGTCCTTACTGCTTGCTGGAGGATTGTCCCTATTGCTGGAGGTCTCCTTATCGCTTACAGGAAGATTTTCCCCATTGCTGGAAGTGTTGTTACTACTTGCTGAAGGATTGTCGCCATTGCAAGAAATATCCTTATTGTTCACTGGAGGATTGTCCTCATTACTGTAGGTGTCGTTACTGTTCACTGAGGGCTTGTCCTCATTGCTGGAAGTGTCCGTATTGCTTGCTGGAGGATTGTCCTCATTGCTGGAAGGGCTGTTACTGTTCGCTAGAGGCTTATCCTCATCACTGGAAGGGTGGTTACTTTTCACTGCAGGCTTGTCCTCATTAGTGGAAGTGTCCCTACTGCTCACTGAAGGATTGTCTTCACTACTAGAAGTGTCTGAAGTCTTCACTAGAGGACTGCTTTCATTGTGGGAACCAGCACTGGTTGCTGAAGTACTTGTTTTTGTTGAAGGACCACACTCAGCATCATGATGAAGCACAGATTCTTTTCCTTTATCTGAAGCTTTATCTTCCTATACAAGGAATATACAACTTCATTAGGATTAACCTGACTTTTCCTTACTATGTTTTCCTAGTTAATACTGTTGAGACCCTGAGCAAGAAGTCTGTTTTTTTTCCCATAACTAGCTGGACTGTAGATTAAGGGCTAAAGTCTTCAGGAAAATGTTGTTGTCTGTAATTATAAAGGTAATTGTGCTATAATAGCAGAGACAATGATATATTTTGGTTCCTGATGATGCAGTACATATCATAATGAAATTCAGATTGTAACCAATAGTGTTTCACCAGATTACACCTTTAATAATATCTATTACACAATTGTCGACTGTGATTGGTTCTCTGGGTGCCTTTTTGTCACGTAATCGGCGCATGATCACATGGCTGTCCAATTACAACTTTTTGTTATTGGATACTCGTAATTGGATATGTCCTAAAACTTATAGAAAGTGCCGCTCGCTCTTTCGCTAAAAATAAGTTCTCAAAAGACTTCTTTAATGTGTAAATTTGTTATCGATGCGATTAATTAGTAATTGGACCTTATTTCGTACAATTCAGGGGGTAATCATGTTCGTACTTTCAAATCGGCGTCATGCTTTGCGCTTGTCCAATTTTGAAATTACTTGCGCTATTACTTCCTGAATTGTACTCCAAAGAATAAGTCCAATTACGTTTACAAATCGCTTTTGCAGAACGTAGTTCATAATCTTCGGTGTCCTGTGGTTTTAAGGGTGACTTCTTTTGAGACTTTTTTGTCGAGCTTCTGCATTTTCTGGGCCATTTTGACTGGCATCATATGTTATGTCACATGCGCAAAGACTATCGCGCACCTTGTGGTTCTGTGGTAGTCTGAGCAAGTCTGAGCATTGTAAAGCGGATTTCTAAAGCTAGAGACTACCGCGTGGTTTTGTAGTTTAATATACTTGCTCACGAACACGACTTTGAATCGCTTTGGCTTTGGGATGTTAACCATGGGAACAGTTATATTTCATTGGCTGTAGTTTGATCGCACTTGCTACTTAGTTCCAGTCGCGACAGATAGCTCAGTCTTTATCCAGTCAAATGTAGTTTGGAATCAGTAGTAAAGTACTCTAAAGGTAAGATCCAGAAGAGTGAGCCTGAACCAAGGGAGGACAATGTAAACATGCTGTCTACTCTCATTCATCAGGGGAAATATTCGAATCAGTCGCACAGAGTTTGTTTACGATAAACAAGCGTGCGATTACAAATGTTTGCTTATATTTCTGCTCCCAGCTTAAAACAATGTACGTAAAAAATATATACTTTTTCAAATTAGCTTTCTACGCTTAAAGATTACCAGTTCATGGGAAAATATTTAGCACGAAATAATGTAAATATTTTTGTGAGTCTGCGGAAACTGGCGCCGTCACGCAATGTATCAACAAATTGTAGTTTATACAGGGGACCTGTTCATTGGCATGAACTTTGACACTATGATATGTATGTGTGTAAATCCTCGTTGTTGACGAAAAATGTTGATTTTAGCTATAGACAGAGGTTGAAAGTCAGCTAGTGAAATCATTTAAGGTCGAATGCACTCATAATCTTTGATTGCTGCTAGTAATAATATAATAATACTAATACTAATACTAATACTAATACTACTACTAATACTAATACTAATACTAATACTAATACTAATACTAATACTAATACTAATACTAATACTAATACTAATACTAATACTAATACCAATACAATAATAATAATAATAATAATAATAATAATAATAACAATAATAATAATAATCATCTTTATAGAGGGTAACAGCAAAAAGCTAACACTAAGTTCATTAGGGTGGCTCTCATTAACCACTACAGTGTGTATTTATATTTCACCTCCTTGCATAATATGTTTAGTTCAAATGTCTGCAATAAGTTCTTGCAAAGTTTAACTCCTTGATTCATAAATCATATCTTAATAACCATCTAAAGGTTTAATAGTGCTTTTGCAATTATAATTACTGACCTAGCAGAGCCACAACCTCCCCAGCATTAATTTGCTGCTACTGCTAATACCTGGGTGTACAATTTTGTTAATAAAAACAAGGTTATTCCATATTTTGAAATAAAAGGAAAACTGTCAAACTTTTTTGCCATGTAAACATGAAGTTACAAGTACATGAACAAGGAAATGCCATAATAAATTGTTTCCTGACAAATTTCAGCTTTATATGCCGACAAGTTTGAAGGTTTTTACTTAAATATTGGAAAAGTTATCAAAGATTTTTCTTCCCCACCCCACTCCCTTTATTGTGTGTGTATCTTAGTAGGACAATCAGACAATAACAAAAATTATAATTGTCTGTAGGGACAGGCAATATTGGACCCTTCTCTTAGAACAATAAATAACAGCAAAGGATCCAAATATCTTTCCAGACGGCATTGCAACACTTGTTAAACGACAAAATCTCAATTATTTCTCGCTTAATCTCCGTCAGTTGTCCACTGCTCAATTTAGTTATTAATTCTGTGTAAAGCATGTAGCAACGTGTAAATACAAGAAAGTGTCATATAGAGTTCAGTATTAATAGTGTATTCCTTGTAAGTCAGCATTAACCTAAGCTAACTGGATCATAGAGCGTTAGTCAGGCTGACCGCAGTGCTGTTTAGCTAACCAAAGTGGTTTTTATGCTATTAAACTGGAGTGCATTTTAGCGAGGTGCAATTCCTGTATGAAGCCACTAGTTGTGTAAATGGTTTTCCTACATGATTTGCGGTCCAGTGGTCAGGAAGTAAATATGGCTGCCGAAGTAAACCTCTCTTGCAAATACAGCATGAGAAACATAGTACCTTAACTATACTAGCAAAGTTGTTTCTCGTCATACAGCTTCATTAGAATCAAGTCAAACGTTGGATTTTTCTAACGATTCATGAGCAATATGATCGGGTTTGAGGTTTAATATCGCAACAGTAATGCTTGAAATGTTTACTTTTGTTTTGGTGGCGTGATGTCGCGTGATGTTTCGTGTTGCTGTGGGTCCGCAAATGTGTTATGTAAAGCCCATCAGATTTGTAATTTAGAGAAAGGCTTGGTTTCAATCGACTGAATGACTTACTTGTCTAGAGTTGTGTCCTGTTTGATCGCACGTTTCATCTGCGCCTTCTTCCGACATGATGTTATAAACATGGATGATTTACGCTGCGTCATGTCCATGGCGTCATTTCCGGTGAATGCCTCTCGTGCGTAACCAGGAATAGAAAGGAAGTAGACATCTTGAAACCCAATCCGTTACTAGTTACATTTTACCTGCGTCGCTCGTGTCTTAGAAATAAGTGAGTGCTTGATTCAGATCACTCTGTTCCTTTTAATTATTTGGATTTTGCTTTAGTTTAAGAAATAGAAAACACTTTTTGTTGCTCTTTTGAGTTTTAGTAGAATTTTTCTTGTTTTTCAATATTGGCACTGGTTGAGCTGTCCGGTGTAATATGTAAACAATTCAGTTTTTCTCTCGAGGGCTTACTTAGTCCGATAGTTGCCCGCATAAATCGTTGTCCTAAAAAACGGATATTTTATATGCTTATATGCAATTTGTCAAGTGTTCAATGTAGCAACGCCAACCTGCTGCTGTAACTATTAGCTATAGTCTCGTTTTTATTTCATAGTCTTCACATTGCTCAGGCTAAATCCTTGTTTGTATCCGAAGGCTAACACTCCTTTTTTAGTTAAACATGTTTTGCTGACAACAATATCACGCGTTTTGTAGGGTGAACTAGAGGGATCTTGTCACGGCGACGCAAGTAACAACTCCTTATTTCAGCAATCGCAACAACACTTACGACATCCACGCAACCTCTCTGAGCGACAAAGCGGTCATAGCACTGCAGCACAAGAGAACGCTGCCTGCATCACCAAATAAAATTCGCCTCGAGAGTAACAAAGACTAATACGTAAAAACGAAAAACAACAACAACAAACAAACAAACAAAA